CGAGTAGCTGGGATTACAGGCGCCTACCACCACACCTGGGTAATTTTAGTATTTTTAGTAGAGACAGGTTTTCACCATGTTGGCCAGACTGTTCTTGAACTCCTGACCTCTGGTGATCTGCCTGCCTCAGCTTCGCAAAGTGCTGGGATTACAGGTGTGAACCATCATGCCTAACCTTTTTTTTTTTTTTTTTTTGAGATAGGGTCTCACTCTGTCACCCAGGCTGGAGTGCAGCGGCACGATCATGGCTCACTGTAGCCTTGAACACCTGGGCTCAAGTGATCCTCCCACTTCAGCCTCCTGAGTAGTTGGGACTACAGGAACATGCCACCATGCCCAGCTGCTATTTTATTTTTGGTAGACAGTGTCTTACTATGTTGCCCAGGGTGGTCTTGAACTCCTGGGCTTCAGCCTCCTGAGTAGTTGGGACTACAGGAACATGCCACCATGCCCAGCTGATATTTTATTTTTGGTAGACAGTGTCTTACTATGTTGCCCAGGCTGGTCTTGAACTCCTGGGCTCAAGTTATCCTCCTGCCTCGGCCTCCTAAAGTCGTGGGATTACAGGCATGAGCCACCATGGCCAGCCAAGATCTTGTGTTTTGGTGTGATTAAAATGTCGTTGTTGGAGCCTAATGCATTAGCTTGTGCCTATAGCTTCAGCTACTCAGGAGGCTGAGGAAGGAAGATTGCTTGAGTTTGAGCCCAAGAGTTTGAGGCTGCAGTGAGCTATGATTGTGCCACTGCACTCCAGCCTGGGCAACAGAGTGAGACCCTGTTCCCTAAAAAGAAAAAATAAATGATACCGTTGAAGCAATAAATACGAATACTTTGTATAAGTAGGCAATTTTTGGAAAAAATAAAAGCTTCTCTATAAAATCAGCTTTATGTTGAGCAACAAAATGTGTAGAATGACATTTAGTGTTTTACTTGCCATCTTTAAGAAAATCAAACTCACCAAACTTTAAAAGACTTTTAGGTCTGGACGCAATGCCTTCCAAATCCCTGAACCTGGAGACTTGGGAGCTTATCTTTTGCAGGTGAGAAAATTGAAGTCACCCTTCCCTTTTAGTATCTAGTGAAGGATCCTGGAAAGGCAGGGTTAGTTAGGGAAGGTATGTGGTTCTGGCTTTATTTAAATGACTTGCCCAAGGTCAGACCGTCAGAACTTAAATAGGATTGGGCAGCAGCAGCAACCATTTAGCAATCTTGGGCCTTTTGTCCCCCTTTATGGAGGTGAAATATCATAATTCAAGAGTCTCATTTTTGTTTTTCTTCCAGATTTCAGAAGAGATCCCTAGAGGCAGGTGTTGACTGTGCCCTCCATTTAAACAAATGGACGAGCTGGGAAGCCCCTGGAAGTCACCATAAGCCTGCTCTATAGCAGGTCCTCGCTAAAGAGAGGGTAACAGTTGGGCACGGTGGCTCACACCTGTAATCCCAGCACTTTGGGAAGCTGAGGCAGGTGGATCACCTGAGGTTAGGAGTTCGAGACCAGCCTGCCTAACATGGCAAAACCCTGTCTCTACTAAAAATACAAAAAATTAGCCAGGTGTGGTGGCGGGTGCCTGTAATCCCAGCTACTTGGGAGGCTGAGGCAGGAGAATTGCTTGAACCTGGGAGGCAGAGGTTGCAGTGAGCCGAGATCATGCCACTGCACCGCACTGTAGCCTGGGTGACAAGAGTGAAACTCTGTCTCAAAAAAAAAAAGAGAGAGAGAGAAACTCCTGAAGCCAAAAAGCCTTCAAACTTGAAGGAAGATCCCTCTTGCTAAGGAACAATTACTTGGCTTAGGCATCTAGATTGCTCTGTGTGTCTTGAGTATACATGAAGAGTATAACCCCCACCAACCACCCAGGATCATTCAGCAACCCTTCGTGTGAATTTGAGATTTGTTTTTTTTTTTAAATATTGTAAGTTGTCTGGGTGTCCTTTCTGACCTTTTTCTTCTATGAAGTCCTGAATTTCTAACTTGCTTCGAAATTGCTAATGTCACATTTTCCTGTTGTAGCTTTCTCTGAAATGCACAGGAGATGTCTGTAGGGTTGGCAAGCTCCTCCTCCCCACACTTCACTCCTATTCCACACGTGTACTTTCAGCATTTGAGAGCCTGTCTTCTCTCTTAGCTCCCTTAAAAACATTTGTAATATTTCCACTTTTTATGAAGTTAAAATGGTTTCATTTTCAATCCACTAAGTTAGAAGGATCATGTCTGTCCTTAACCTTTGCCAAATATTCTTAAAAATAATTTTTTTTCCTTCGAAACTTCCATAATGCCATTCTTATAAATGCATGCCAAGCCTGTAGGTGGTTTTCTTCATCTGAACTTACTTTTCAAATATAGCAGTATGAGGCTTGGGGTAGGGGAAGCAGCATCATAAATGGAAGGGCTGGAAACTAGATTCAGGACATTGTTTAAAATAATCAGAATAAATACTTTCACTTATTTAACCTTCTGCATATATTGTTTTGAATATCTATCATTGGCTGGGCATGGTGGCTCATACATGTAATCCCAGCACTTTGGGAGGCCAAGGAAGGAGGATCTCTTGAGGCAAGAAGTTTGAGACCAGCCTGGAAACATGGCAAAACCCTGTCTCTACTAAAATTAAAAGAAAATTAGGCAGATGTGGTGGCGTGTGCTGGTAGTCCCAGCTACTTGGGAGGCTGAGCCCAGGAAGTGGAGACTGCAGTGAGCCATGACTGTGCCACTGTACTCCAGCCTGGATGACAGAGTGAGACCTTGTTTTTTGTTTTTTTAAAAAGAATAAAGAATATCTAGGGCCAGGCATGGTGGCTCACGCCTGTAATCCCAGCACTTTGGGAGGCCCAAGTGGGTGGATCACCTGAGGCCAGGAGTTTGAGACCAGCCTAGCCAATATAGAGTGAAACCCCGTCTCTACTGAAAATACAAAAATTAGCTGGGCATAGTGGTGCATGCCTGTAGTCCTAGCTACTAGGGAAGCTGAGGCAGGAGAGAATCCCTTGAACTTAGGAGGCAGAGGTTGCAGTTAACTGAGATCGCGCCACTGCACTCCAGCCTGGGTGACAGAGAGAGACTCTGTCTCTCAAAAAAAAAAAAAAAAAATATATATATATATAAATATAATACATATGTATATGACATATCTATATCTATATATCTACTATTCTAGGCCCTTGTGATACAGCAGTGAACAAACAGACACACTTTCTGCCCTCAGGGAGCTTAAGTTCTAGTGGAAGGAGACAGATAACAAACCAAATCAATAATTTACATAGTGTATTAGAAAGCAATCTTTGCTTTGAAGAAAAATAAAGTAGATGCAGCATAGAGGGAGTGTTTTCCACAAGTTTAAAATCAGATGGCTTTTGAGCAAAGCACTAAAGGAGGTGAAAAAGGCTATGCTGACATCTTAAGCCCAGGAAACAAACAGCAAGTGCAAAGTCTCGCAGGGGAAAATCCCTGGAGTGATGGAGAAACAGCTTGGAGAGAAATTAATTTGGCTTATTATCTGTCTCCTTCCACTAGGAGAACAGCAGGTGATGAGGTCCGAGAAGTAACGAGAGGTAGCAGACCTTTGAGCCTACTAGGATGATGTAGGTACTTTGGCTTCTTCTAGGGTGAGATGGGAAGCCAGTGGAGGCGTTTCAGCCAAGGGAGATACAGAATCTCATGGACAAGATCACTTGCTGCTGGGTTAAGAAGGGAAAGGAGCAGGTGCCGAAGAGGGAAGATCAGTTAGGAGGCCACTGCAATCATTCCAGAAATTACTCATACCAGAAATTAATCAGAGACGTTTGACGCATTTATAAAAGCGGCGGGGGGCGGGGGGGTCGGAATGTGCTTGTAGAATACAAAAGAGGTAGAGAAACATTAAACATTTTTAATGTTTTAAGTTTCAAGGAAAATATCAATTTGACAGCTACTTTGCTACCTCGTCACCTCCAGGTGACGCTGGGAGTACTGGGGAGCTAGGTTTCCAGAACTTTTTGCTCTTGAGTGACCTATGACCCTAGCAGAGTTTGGCCAGTGTGATTAAGAATGAGCCTCTGTGGGTCTGCTTAGGATAGGATGCTTGCCGCCCTCCCATTTCCTTAACTTGCCTGGGTTCCTGTTGGGAATACAGATTCGGGGCCCTTCCCACTCTGTAAATATGGGAAAGGGTCTAGGAAGTATATACTTTTAGTAATAATATGTAGGGGTTCTATGACTAGCAAATTTGGGGAACTGTCCCTCTGACAGTTCCATCCGTAACTTTCTGTACACCTTTCGGGGTATGCCGCGGACCTGGAAAGCGTTGCAGGGCGCTCCTGCGGCCCGCAGGTGGCGCCATGTGATCGCGAGCCGCAGAGAGCGCGTACCCTAGGAGTCTTGAGGCGCGGGGACTGCTGGTCGGCAGCTGTGCCGGGGCCACCGACGCCGCTTACCCCAGCGGAGCGCCGCGCACGTAGAGTTGGGGACAGCGGCCGGTGCCCCGGCTTTTTAGGCTGTGTGCATCCCAAGCCGCCTCTAGTTGGCTTCTCGGGCCTCCGGGGCAGGAGGGCGCTGCGGCTTTCTGCCCACGAACTGACAACTGCAGAGCCAGCAAGCCAGTGCATCGGGAACCTGCCGCCTTGCGCCGCAGGGCTTTAGTCCAAACCCGGCCGGTCCAGGCTCCCGGATCTACTACAGGGTCCCCCGGGGAGCGCGGGCCCCGGGGACGGCTCCTTCCCATTGGCAGCAGGACGGAGGCCACGCCCCTTTCCTACAACTCTCATCTTTGACTGGCTCTCGAGTCCCAGCTGGCCACGCCCCCTCCCCTCGCACATACACAAGAGTCACGCGCCTTTCAGTTGGAAACTTGGCGTGCAGAGGGGGACGGTGGCTCTCATCGCCCCACCCATTTACCTTGCCATTGGTTCGTGGAACGGCACACGGTCACGCCCCCATTCCAGCCCCCTGGCTGGGAGGGCGGGCGCCCGCTTGTGATTGGCCAGTGGGCCTGCCTCTCGCGGGAGCAGCCGGCGCTCCTCTCCCTCCCTCTGTCCCCTCCCGCGAGCCTCGGGGTTCCTCAGCTGGCCGAGGTCGAGTCAGTGTCAGTCAGGGAGGCGAACTGCTGAGCACTGGCCGCGGACGCTCAGTTGCAGTCTCGCCCAGGGGCAGGTACCTGCGCTCGCGCCGCCGGGTGGAAAGGATGAAGCCGCAGCTGGAGCAGCCACCCTATGATTGGCTGTGGCGCTTGTGAACCCAAAGTAAAGATGGCGGGCGGGCAGGCAGCCGCCGCACTGCCCACTTGGAAGATGGCGGCGCGCCGCAGCCTCAGCGCCCGCGGCCGGGGGGTCCTGCAGGCGGCTGCGGGGCGGCTGCTGCCGCTGCTCCTGCTGAGCTGCTGCTGCGGCGCGGGCGGCTGCGCAGCGGTGGGCGAGAACGAGGAGACGGTGATCATCGGGCTGCGGCTGGAGGACACGAACGACGTGTCGTTCATGGAAGGGGGGGCGCTGCGGGTGAGCGAACGGACCCGGGTCAAGCTGCGGGTGTACGGGCAGAACATCAACAACGAGACGTGGTCCCGCATCGCCTTCACCGAACACGAGCGGCGGCGCCACAGCCCGGGGGAGCGCGGGCTGGGGGGCCCCGCGCCGCCGGAGCCGGACAGCGGCCCCCAGCGCTGCGGCATCCGCACCTCAGACATCATCATCTTGCCCCACATCATTCTCAACCGCCGCACCTCGGGCATCATCGAGATCGAGATCAAACCGCTACGCAAGATGGAGAAGAGCAAGTCCTATTACCTGTGCACGTCGCTCTCCACGCCCGCCCTGGGTGCCGGCGGCTCGGGATCCGCGGGTGGCGCCGTCGGGGGCAAGGGCGGCTCGGGGGTGGCCGGGCTCCCGCCACCCCCGTGGGCCGAGACCACCTGGATTTACCACGACGGCGAGGACACCAAGATGATCGTAGGCGAAGAGAAGAAATTCCTGCTGCCCTTCTGGCTGCAGGTGATCTTCATTTCGCTGCTGCTGTGCCTGTCGGGCATGTTCAGTGGCCTCAACCTGGGGCTCATGGCCCTGGACCCGATGGAGCTGCGCATCGTGCAGAACTGCGGCACGGAGAAGGAGAAGAATTACGCCAAGCGCATCGAGCCGGTGCGCAGGCAGGGCAACTACCTGCTGTGCTCACTGCTGCTGGGCAACGTGCTGGTCAACACCACGCTCACCATCCTGCTCGACGACATCGCCGGCTCGGGCCTCGTGGCTGTGGTGGTCTCCACCATCGGCATCGTCATTTTCGGGGAGATAGTGCCCCAGGCCATCTGCTCCCGCCACGGCCTGGCTGTGGGGGCCAACACCATCTTCCTCACCAAGTTTTTCATGATGATGACCTTCCCCGCTTCCTACCCGGTCAGCAAGCTGCTGGACTGCGTCCTAGGCCAGGAGATAGGCACCGTCTATAACCGGGAAAAACTGCTGGAGATGCTCCGGGTCACCGACCCCTACAACGACCTCGTTAAGGAGGAACTGAACATCATCCAAGGGGCGCTGGAGCTCCGCACCAAGACGGTGGAGGACGTGATGACACCACTCCGGGACTGCTTCATGATCACTGGCGAAGCCATCCTGGACTTCAACACCATGTCTGAGATCATGGAGAGCGGCTACACCCGCATTCCAGTGTTTGAAGGGGAGCGCTCCAATATCGTGGACCTGCTGTTCGTCAAAGACTTGGCCTTCGTGGATCCAGATGACTGTACTCCCCTGAAAACCATCACCAAATTTTATAACCACCCCTTGCACTTTGTTTTCAATGACACCAAGTTGGACGCTATGCTGGAAGAATTTAAGAAAGGTGGGAAATTTTGGTCTCTTTCATTGGCTTGCTCTTTCTCTCTCCATCCTCTTCCGTACTTGAGCCCTCTACCCTCAGACCAACCCCCCAAGGCGAGTTGACCGGGATTTCTCCTTCTTTCTCTTAATTGCAAAGTTGAAAGGGTGGCGTGGATTTGGGGATGGATTGAACTAGTAAGTGCTACTAGGTTATTTTAAAGCACAAGACTGCCATCACTTACTTTTTACCATTATCAAAAAGCAGGCTGTGTAATTTCTGTGCATGACACTTTTTTTTTTTTTGGTTCCGTGTGTGGGGCCTCTGTGCTTGAGGGGTCTGCCGCCTTCATTGTCTGGGTTCTCAGTGGGTAGGTGAAGGTAGGGGCTGGCTGATGCCATGCCATTTGGTTGACTTTAATCACAGGCATTTGGAAAACATGTAAATAGCTTTTGTAAACTCAGTGCAGTCGTTTTCCTTCTCCTTAAACATCCACACTGGCCTTTCAAAGATCGAAGTACATTTTCTATAGCTTCTGTTCCTGCTTGCCTGGCAACTTACGGGGAAGATTGAGGTCTGCCTTTGAGGGTAAGGGATGGGGTAAACTAAGTATCGCCAAAAAAATCACCCATTTTCGATGTGACTTCTCTTAGCTAGAAAAGTGTTGTTGTTGTTGTTGTTTTAAATTAAAATTATTAATATGTAACTTGGAAAGACTAGCGGTTAGCCAGCCTTTTGTGAAGAGGCTGTATGTCCCGTAGCCTTCTTCACTATTTGTTTACGTTTATCTGACAACAGTTACAGTTGCCCAAACCAAGTGTGATTTTGGCAGAAAGCTTGCACCTTTAACAGTGGGATGAATCCCTCTATTGGGGCTTATTTATTTCTTGACTCTTTCAGTCTAAGTGTTCTTTTTTTCCACCTTGGTCATCTGATACATTAAACTGAAGTATGTCTCCGTCAACTCTCACTGTTCCAAGGTGAGAAATTATACAGCACATCATTTCTTGCATTGTGGTATTTGTTTGCTTGACCATATAATGAACAGGTAAATAGCAACTTGTACTATTATTATTGAAGTTCTGAATGTTTCCAGTAAAATGTTTCCACTATTTCAAATAGTGTTATTTGAAAACCAAGGGATGCTGAGTTTTTGAATTATTATGATGCTAGTGCATGTGCGGATACTGAAATGTGTATGTAAACTTTCGTGACCTGATAGTCCTCAAAACCAAGTTTTCCTTCTTCAAATAGAATTTTGATCACTGGTAGTAGTCTCTCCTCTGAAGAAGGTGATATGTACCTAGTGACAGCTCACTGGATATGATGATCTGAACATACTCAAAGAGCATATGGTTGTCCTAATTCCGTTTTTCTGGTTGAATGATGCCCTCTTTAGAACAGGATCTCATTGTAGTAATTTTTTTTTTTCTTTTGAGACGGAGTCTCGCTCCGTTGCCCAGGCTGGAATGCGGTGGCACAATCTCCACTCACTGCAAGCTCCGCCTCCCAGGTTCACACCATTCTCCTGCCTCAGCCTCCCAAGTAGCTGAGACTACAGGCGCCTGCCACCATGCCCGGCTAATTTTTTATATTTTTAGTAGAGACAGGGTTTCACCATGTTAGCCAGGATGGTCTCGATCTCCTGACCTCGTGATCCGCCTGCCTCGGTCTCCCAAAGTGTTGGGATTACAGGCGTGAGCCACCGCGCCCGGCCACATTGCAGTAATTTTTATACAAAGGAAAAGAGCAGAATGTGTTTTGAAGATTGGTAAATTTGCATTTAAAAGCAGGAGGTTCTTCTGGTTTCTTAAATAGTAAAAAGAAAATGTCCAGTATCTCTAGGTGACATAGCTTCTTTTGGGGGTGTCATTCTTTCACCATTAAGTTGTTAATTAGAGCATCTAACTTCTTTCATTTTGCAGTAATATCTGTAATACAGAAAGATATGTTGGAATGTTTGGAAATGCCCCTAAAAGTCTTTCTATTGCTAAATTCCCCAATATTGATACAGGTGAGTGATTGCTTGAGTTTTTTATTACTTAGAATTTTGCACATTTACTCATGAATTGATGACACTAGTTTGTACTTCTTGCTGAAGTCTTTTCTTCACTTCTGTATCTTTTTACCTTGAGAATTTCATTTTTTACCTCACAGCTCCTTAATCCTGCCCCTACTCAAAATTTCAAAATTTGTATTATTTTGAAATTTGTGCTTGATTGACTTTGAACAATTTTTCTTGATGGATTTATTTTCACAAGGAGCTCTTTTTCCTCCAGAATTACCACTTAGTATTTTTTTGAAATGTATTCTTTAAATAATGGAATTACTAATATTTCCCCATGAATTCTAGAAAAATAATAAGGTACAAGATTTTATTTTTGTCTTTAACCAGAATGATGTATTTGGTTAAGAAGATAGTCCAAGTTAAAGACATACATTCAAGCTAGTGGCACATTCGGAAGAGCAGGCAAGATAGTTGGTTGCAAATGGGAAATTTAAGCCATGATCTTAAAAGGACAGAATGGATATTTGTTACTTAAACTATGGGAATAATTGATTTTTTTCACCTTCCCTTTCTTGGATTTTTTTTTTTTTTTTAACCTTACTGTCAGTTATATTGGTTCTTTTTTTACGTCTGAGTTTTTTTTTTTTTTTTTTTTGAGATGGAGTCTTGCTCTGTCGTCCAGGCTGGAGTGCAGTGGCCGGATCTCAGCTCACTGCAAGCTCTGCCTCCTGGGTTCACCCCATTCTCCTGCCTCAGCCTCCTGAGTAGCTGGGACTACAGGCGCCCACCACCACGCCCGGCTAGTTTTTTGTATTTTTTAGTAGAGACGGGGTTTCACCGTGTTAGCCAAGATGGTCTCCATCTACTGACCTCGTGATCCGCCCATCTCAGCCTCCCAAAGTGCTGGGATTACAGGCTTGAGCCACCACGCCCGGCCTTTATGTCTGAGTTAAAACATTTTACCTGATTTTCGTGTGTTCATTTTCTAAATCAATTATGACATAATGTTAACAATCAACCTTCTATTGTTTTTCTCTACTGAATAATGGTGTGTTGAATGGTTTGAAGACTTTTTCTTCCTCTACCTCGCTTCTAAATTCCTCATTTACAAACAAACAAACAAAAAAAACAAAACACCCCCCACAATACCAACTGTACCTCCCCAAACCAGTTAGATCATAAATCCAGATCTCATTGAAAATTATCCTTTTGACCAGGCATGGTGGCTCATGCCTGTAATCCCAGCACTTTAGGAGGCCGAGGTGGGCAGATGACTTGAGCCCAAGAGTTCGAGACTAGCCTGGGCAACCTGGTGAAACCCCGTCCTTACAACAAATACAAAAATTAGCAGGGCGTGGTGGTGTGTACCTGTGGTCCCAGCTCCTCGGGAGGCCTGAGGTGGGAGGATTCCTTGAGCCTGTGAGGATCCCTTGAGCCTGGGAGGCGGAGATTGCAATGAGCTGAGATGGTGCACTCCAGCCTTGGGGACAAAGACCCTGTCTCAAAAAAAAAAAGAAAAAAGAAAGAAAATTGTCCTTCCTAATTAAGAAGTTCTATATTGAAGACTTCCCTGTATATAGTTGTACAGAATTAGTCTGAGTTATTCTTTATTAGGGAGGAGGAAACAAAATGTTCTGTAATGTGGGAAGAAAAGCCACATTTATATTAGTATATGTGAATGTCTTCTTTCTTCTTCCTTTTTTTTTTCCCCCCCAAGAGACAAGGTCTCACTATGTTGCCCAGGCTGGATTCAGACTGTGATTGTCTTTTTTTCTCTGGCTACCAGGAAACTCTTGGTTTTATTTGAGATAGTAATTGTGCTAATTTTACAGTTTGCTCATGATGATGGTGATTATTACTACTTACCTGTGTATTCTATGCCAGGTATAGAGGCTAGGGCTTTGTATGAATCACGTTTAAATCTCACGATGGCTGAATGAAGTATTATCTCCATTTTACAAATGAGGAAATTGACTCGGGTGAAATGATTTGTTCAAGGTTGCACAGTAATTTGTGCCTTGGGGTTTTAACTTAGGTCTTTGTGACACCAGAACCTGCTCTCTTAACCTCTCTCTTATGCTGCTCTCCTTGATCCTGGTTTGACATTTCTGTTTTACTGAGTGTGAGGTTTAGTCTTTTGTCTCAACACTGCCTCAGAGCCTGCTGGGCAATAGAAAAAAAAATGTGTTTAAACATATATATGACTTTAAACCCAGTGCTTCTGTGGTGTTGTGCATAACAACTGGTGTCCCCTTTTTTTGCCATTAAAACAAATCAGTTTTTTGGCCTGTGTGATCCTAAGTCTAAAGAATTGTGTTGACAGCATTTGCATATCAAGCATCAAAATTCATTTTGGAAATGTTTTGTACTAACATTGTGCTATACTACTGTGCTTCTTCCATGGGCTGCTCTACAGCTGTTTTTCCCATGGCTAAATTATGTAATATGTTTCACTGTTGGTTTCTTATCTGTTTCTGTTGCAAGGGTCACATAGGAATTGGTCAAACTCAGTTTTGTGTTTTAATCTTGGTTTTTATTTACATTTTTGAATCTATCTGTATAACTGGTTGCTAATGAGCATCCATTACATAACTCTGCTCTCTGTATTCCATGCAAGGAGCCTTTCTCTTTTTTTGTGTATGTTAGTTTTATAGTTACTTACAAATCTAAATAAGAGAATAAATTCAGTAAATACCACTAGAGGATTATGAGAATTTTAGAAAAACTACAGCAATGTAGTGTAGGGGAAGGAAAAGCAAAATGAAAGGCTGCCACCTTTGTGTGTGGAAAGCATGTTAGAGGCTCTCCATTCACCTGACAAAACCGTCCTCACAAAAGATTGGGCCACCCAGTTGTCTATGCTGAGGTGCATTTGAAGAATTCGTAACCAGTTACTGTTTCCTTATTTTTCTCTTAGCTTTATAACAGTTGCATTCCAGTATTGCAGAGCATGCTATTTACAGCTGCTAGGGACTTAGCCAGCCTCTTTTCTAGCTTTTTCTTAGGAACAGGTGGG